CCGGGGACAGCAGCGCCCAGACACCGAGGTCTGCACGCTGGACGGCCGCGGGCACCGGCTGCCCTGGGCCAGCTGGAGAGTTCTGGAACTGCCACCGTCAGGGCCGGGCCAAGGGGGTCCCAGGACCGGCCCGGGACTCGGGGTTCACCCCACAGGACCTGGGGTCACCCTGAGGACTCCAGGGCTCCCGCCTGGGAAGGCCGGTCCCTGTCCCTCTCCCTGTGCCCTGGCACCCCTCCAAGTCTGGGGAGCCGCCAGGACCCAGTGGCCACCCTGGGCCACAGCCTGTCCCCGACTGCCCGCTCCTCTGCCCCTCACCCATTGTGACCCAGCAGGAGGCAGAGGGGGACAGAGCTGTCCCCAGCTGCCCTCAGCCTCCCCCACCCCGGCACCCGGGCACAGGGCCAGGGTGGCAACTGCAGCCCGCCATGCTGGGGGCAGCCACAGGTGCAGAGCACCCCGCCCAGCGCCTGGGTGGACGCTGCTCCCCAGGGCGGCCCTGCTCTGCGCACAGGGGTCCCTCCCCCCGGAGGTCACTGATGAGGAAGTGGAGATCAGAGATGTGCACTCGCTTCCTGACGCTGCACAGCCGAGCGGCAGCGGGCTGGGGGCTGTGCTGCAGGAGTGAGTGACCATCCTGCTGCCGCCACGGACAGTCCTTCCTGCTGTCCCGCCAGCACAGCACACACGTGGTCACCGTCACGTGGACGTCACTATCTATCACTGTTTGCAACTTGATTGGCAAAATGGTGGTGGAGTGTGGCTGTGAGGTGTGGCCCTCGGCGTGGCCTGTTCCTGGTGTGTGTGGCGCCTGCTCGCCAGGCAGGGGCTCGCCGCTGCCACACCGGCCGGGACACGTGGGCGTGGGCAGTCCTGGGCACTGGGCAGCACTGTCCGGCTCCCCACTCCCTGGCCTCGGGCACGGCTGGGTCAGTGGCCCCTCGGGCGGGCAGCCGGGGCCCAGCCCACTCGCCGCCCAGCGCGCCCACCGTCCGCCCTGCACCAGGACAGGAGCCCAGGTCTCCCGCGGTCCCTAAAATACGCCCACAGCTGGCGTCTGGACCCTGCGCCGGCAGCCACCACCCCGCGCAGGCGGGTGGCCGTCCACCTGGCTGCGGGGCCCGGAGGGTGCCAGAGCCCCTGCCCCCGCCACCGGACACCTGGCTGCCAGTGACGGCCGCCCGCGGTCACCTGAGTCCGCTTCCTCCCTGGGCTCAGTGCAGAGCCGGGGGCCAGGGAGAGGGTCAGAGGAGCGAGCACTTATTGAGCACCTCTGGTTGCTTCTCAGGGCCCCTGGCTCCCAGTGCCCACTGCACAGGCGGCAGACGGAGGCTCCCGGGGCAGAGCAGGCCGTGGGGGGCGGGGGGCGACCGGGTCCCCTAGTCCCTCCTGAGGCCCTTCCTCCTGCACCCCCCCAGCGCTGTCCCTGATGCTGGTCACGAGGCACTCGGCAGGCCCTGTCCAGGCCGTGTCCTCGACGTATCCACCTCCCGTCCACGGGGGGGGGGCTCTCCCTGGACGACCTCGGGAGTGTTTAACCAGGGGCTTCGCTCCCTCCCCAGAGGACTCGGGGGTCTCCGGGCAGCTCTGCCCTTAGAAGCTGTGTGACCTCGGGCAAGTGGCTGCCCCTCTCTGGGCCGCTGCCTCGTATCTGAACACAGGAGGAGGTCAGAGTCCCTTCCTGCCAGGACGGTGGAGGGACTTGAGGAGCCCAGCCGGGCAGGGAGGCCGGGGGTGGCCCAGCGGCAGCGCCCGCCTGGCATCGCGGAGCTCCGGGCCCCCACACGGCAAGGAACGGAAAGGAAGGGAGGAGGAGGGTGTGTTGGGCCCGGCCTGGCACGCAGAGGGCACGTCCCCGCGCCTGGCGCTCCTGCCCGGTGGGGCCGGGCCTCCCCACGTCTCCCGCGCTCTGGGCGCCCCAGCCCCCCCCCCCCGCGGCCCGGGCTTCCTGGCCAGCCCACAGCGCCACTGCGGCCCGGCTGCAGGAGCTTGGCACCGTGTGAGGCGGGAACGGGAGGCCGGCCCACGGCGGCGTCAGCAGATGGGCACCATCTGGGCTGGCAGCTGCCGGGGCGGGCGGGCCTGGCAGCCCCTCCCCCGCCCTGGCACGGTGCCCGCCCGCGCTTCGGGTTTCTCGGGCTGCCAGAGGGGGCGGGGAGGCCCTGCTGGGCGGCGGGCCCTGGGCAGCGGCTTCCCTCTGTGTCCTGGTTCCTCAGACTCCCACAGGCAGGGCAGGTCCTGGCCCTGCCACAGCCTCAGGCGGGCCCAGCCCCAGGGCCTTTGCACGGGCTGCGCCGGCTCCCTCTCCTCCTGCTGGCTCCCTCACTTCCTACAGGCCGCGTGTTAGGAGTGACCTCTCCTGGGAGGCCCTCCCCAGGCAGAGTGGCCTGGCCACAGCCTCCCTGCCCTGTTCTGCCCTTGCCCAATGCCACCTTCTCTTCCTCTTGCCCATCAGGTTGCTGGCTTCTGGCCCAGCCGCCCCGCCCCCTCAGGGCACCCTTGGCCCATGTGCCTCTCTCATGGCCCCAGCAGAGTCCCCAGAGCTGCTCAGGCCGCCCTGGGCCCACACGTCCACCTGGGAATCGGGCCCAGGGGCTTCCCATGGCCGCCCACCTCCCCGCGCTCAGTAACCCCAGAGCGCCTCGTCACCGAGTCTCCCTGTCTGTCTGTCTGTCCTCGCTCACTCTGCGGCTCCTAGGCCCTGGTCCACTTTCCCGCCTGCGGCTGACCAGAGCCGCCCACCCCCACCCCCCGGCCAGGGCCACCGCAGGACTGACAGGAGCCAGGCGCCACGCTCTGGCCCAGGCGGGACCCCCCAGCCCTGGGGCAGGGAGGCGGTGGCTGTCCCCTGTCATCAGACGGATGGTCACTGAAGCTGGCCCGGCAGAGGACGGGGTCCTGGCACAGAGGTGGAGAGCTGGGTCAGCGTGGGTCCTGCAGGGCACAGCCCAGCCAGGAGGGGCCATGCCACGCTGGCCAGATGCCCCCTCCAGCGTCCACGCCACCCCGTGGAGGGTGAGGCACACGGAGTGGGCAGCACAGGCGGGGCTGCCCGCGCCGCCCTCCTGGCCCATGGCCGCGGGACACGGCCCTTTCTTTGGGCCTCTCACGCTTCTCTGTAAAATGGGCCCAGGGTGACTCCGGGGGGCAGGGAGCCCAGGCGCTCCCTGGTCAAACCCCCGGACCTGCAGCTGGACCCAGGGCCTGGACGTTGACCCAGAGGCTCTGTACGGGGAGGGCTCCGCAGGCAGAGGGACTGCCAAGGGACAGGACTGGAGACCATGATGCCCAGGTGGCAAAGGGCACTGGGACCGAGGCCAGTGGCACAGCCTGCGGCCCGTCCTCAGCCACGTGAGGGTCTCGCTGAGTGGCCACCCTGGTACCCGCTGCCTCTGTCTGTCTCGGCCCCCTCTGTCCACGGAGATGAGGCCCAGAGAGGGAGGGTGACTGGCCCCAGGTCACGCAGCCTGCAGGCGGCTGAGCCGGAGAATCCGGCCCCTCTCACCCCCGGAGCCAGGCGCAGGCTGGGCCACTGGGCAGGGATTCCCCTGGGGGACGGGCTGGGAACCAGGGAGGGCACAGCCTTGACCTTCCGCAGCCTCAGGGGAGGGAGGCTGACCAGACGGCGGCCAAGGCGTGGCCGCTGGACCAGGTGTCTGGAGCCCGGCTCCGCTGGCTGCCGGTGGGGGCCGCGGGGGAGGCGCCCAGATTGTGCTGACGCGGCAGAAAACTGGCTTCGACATTTTATCAGCTCAGCGCAGAGGAGGAGGGGCGGGCCGCGGGGGAGTGGGGGGACAGGACCCCATGGCCATGAGCGGCCGCCAAGGCCGCCCGCCGGCCCTCCACAGCTGGCCGCCTCGAGCGGCTCTCGGCCCCCACCCCACTTCACTTCCGGCCCCAGGGAATTCCTGGCGGATCAGTGGGGGGGCTGGGCAGGGGCTGGGGTCAAGGTCACCCCTGGGGAGCCCTGACCTGGTCTGTCCACTGCAGGACCCCTGGTCCACCCCCTGCCTCCACACAGCTGGGTGTCCTGCTGTCGGGGAGGGGAAGGCGGGGATGGGGCAGGCCAACGCAAGGAGGCCATGGCACCGCAGGCCCAGGCGGGGTCCCTGTGCCCCTGCTCACCGCCCGGGCACGCAGCCTGCCCTGGCCCACCCAGCCCCACACAAGGACAGTCAGCAGCAGCGGGACCCAGCCCCTTGGGGACGGGCCTGCACCCGCCCTCACACCTCTGCCCAGGCTGCCTGCCCACCGTGGCGCCCGGCGTCCACTGGGCCTGGCCACCCCACAGCCCCGGCTCAGCCACACCTCTTCCTCCGGAAGCGGCCACCGTCTCCCTGTCTCGCAGACTCCGCTGGTGGAGCCCGGAGGCACCGGCCACACAGAGCCACACAGCCAGCGCCATGGCACCCAGCTGCCCACTCCCATCGGGGATGGTGACCCCAGGGCTGCTGTGGGCCACCTGAGTGGACAACAGGGGCCAAGACAGGCCCAGGATGCCCCGCCTTCTCCGGAGGCCCCAGGTGGCCTCTCCTCCTGCACACCTGCCCCTGACCCTCCAGGACACAGTCATCAGAGACCTTGCGGCCACCACCGCTGCCTACCTCAGGCTGAGATCCGCAGCCCCCTCCGCAGCGCCCGGCCAACCCCTCGGACTCTCCTGCTCCACCTCTCCCCCAGGTCTCCAGGGCACTGGCCATGCTCTCTGCAGGCCGCCTCCTGCTGGGACCCCTGCCACTGT